TAGTCAATAACTCCACATTGGGCCACAATTGGTTCAATGGTAGTCAATAACTCCACTTTGGACCACAATTGGTTCAATGGTAGTCAATAACTCCACATTGGGCCACAATAGATTCAATTGTAGTCAACATCTCCACATTGGACCACAGTAGGTTCAATTGTAGTCAATAACTCCACATTGGGCCACAGTAGGTTAAATGGCAGTCAATAACTCCACATTGGGCCACAATAGGTTCAATGGTAGTCAATAACTCCACATTGGGCCACAATTAGTTCAATGGTAATCAATAACTCCACATTGGGCCACAGTAGGTTCAATGGTAGTCAATAACTCCACATTGGACCACAATAGGTTCAATGGTAATCAATAACTCCACATTGGGCCACAATTGGTTCAATAGTAGTCAATAACTCCACATTGGGCAACAATTGGTTCAATGGTAGTCAATAACTCCACTTTGGGCCACAATTGGTTCAAGTAGTCAATAACTCCACATTGGGCCACAGTGGGTTCAATGGGAGTCAATAACTCCACATTGGGCCACAATTAGTTCAATGGTAATCAATAACTCCACATTGGACCACAATAGATTCAATTGTAGTCAACAACTCCACATTGGGCCACAATTGGTTCAATGGCAATCAAGAACTCCACAATGGGCCACAATTGGTTCAATGGTAGTCAATAACTCCACTTTGGGCCACAATTGGTTCAATGCTAGTCAATAACTCCACATTGGGCCACATACATTGGACCACAGTAGGTTAAATGGTAGTAAATAAATCAACATTGGACCACAATAGGTTCAATGGTACTCAATAACTCCAAATTGGGCCACAATTGGTTCAATGGTCGTCAATAACTCCACATTGGACCACAATTATAACTCCACATTGGACTACAATAGATTCAATTGTAGTCAACATCTCCACATTGGACCACAGTAGGTTTAATAGTAGTCAATAACTCCACATTGGACCACAGTAGGTTAAATGGTAGTAAATAAATCAACATTGGACCACAATAGGTTCAATGGTAATCAATATCTCCACATTGGACCACAATAGGTTCAATGGAAGTCAATAACTCCACATTGGACCACAATAGGTTCAATGGTAGTCATCAACTCCATATTGGACCACAATAGGTTCAATGGTAATCAATAACTCCACATTGGACCACAATAGGTTCAAGGGTAGTCAATAACTCCAAATTGGGCCACAATTGGTTCAATGGTAGTCAATAAATCCACATTGGACCACAATTGGTTCAATAGTAGTCAATAACTCCACATTGGACCACAATTGGTTCAATGGTAGTCAAAAACTCCACATTGGACCACAATAGGTTCAATGGTAATCAATAACTCCACATTGGACCACAATAGGTTCAATGGTAGTCAATAACTCCACATTGGGCCACAATTGATTAAATGGTAGTCAATAACTCCACATTGGACCACAATTAGTTCAATGGTAGTCAATAACTCCACATTGGACCACAGTAGGTTCAATAGTAGTCATCAACTCCATATTGGACTACAAAAGGTTCAATAGTAGTCAACATCTCCACATTGGGCCACAATAGGTTCAATGGTAGTCAACATCTCCACATTGGGCCACACTAGGTTCAATGCTAGTCAATAACTCCACATTGGGCCACACTAGGTTCAATAGTAGTCATCAACTCCACATTGGGCTACAATAGGTTCAAATTCAATGGTAGTCAACAACTCCACATTGGGCCACAATAGGTTCAAATTCAATGGTAGTCAACAACTCCACATTGGGCTGTCACTGGGTTCAATTGTACACAGGGACACTACAGGCAGGAGAAAAGTCCACATAGGTACACCAGTGACTGGAGGTTATCAGCTTCATTATAATGAAACATCAACGGAATAAGGACCAATTTCTTCCAAATCAAATTATTAGAAGTTCCATGATGTGCAATCGACAAAAAAATATCTTCAGTGAAAATGGAACTTTCCACAATTCATCAAGATCATTATAAATGCCCCCACTGAATACAGAAATTTATTTAAACCAAATATAGGGCTACATACTTGAAGAGTTTGAAGAGTTGCAGATTGCACAGAATCTATTTTTATACAATGCAACTGTCAAAACCAAGTTGTTTGACTGGTTATGATAAAAATCTGTATTAGACAGAGTCTGATATAGACAGTGTAATGTAAAAGTAAATTAAATTTGAAATTGCCAGGAATTTTAAATTCGTTACCTAATTTGTAGAAGCTGTACTATTCCTACCCAGACCAGTATGTTACAACTAGTAACAAAATCACCAGGTGACAGTGACAGACGCGGATACTTGTTTCTCAGAATCTCTGTGACTCAACAGTTAAACCACTCAAACGTTGAAGGGACCGCTGTTACTCAACGCCAAAGTTGGAAATGTAATTCTATTTTAGGCGATATCATTGACTTGTACTCCATCGAGTTCGGCATTCCCTTCAAACTGCAGTGACGTATCAGTCTAAATTTCTGTCTTTATTGATTTTAACACAGAACAGATGCTGTAACGACTGTTTAGTGCCGAGTTTTTAATGTTATTTAACAGAATAATGGCTATACGTAGAGAACCTGTCAAGTGACATCTCAGCACTAAATTGACAATGGTTTGTACCCAATCAGCCAGAATGTATAAAACCTGAAAATTCAGCCAATCAGGGGAGAAGAACTCTTTTCACTACACCTACAAATGTGTAGACAACCTGGATATTGATACCTTACACCAGAACCAATTACAGGTAAAAACTCATTGGCAACCATACACAGATAAAATCTTATGGACTCTGCTAAACAATTCACCTGGAAACCTTCTCGGAGTGTTGTGAATAGTGGACCATGCTTATTATAACAAAGGTAAACTGACCACTGAAGTAGATCAAGAAAAGGAAGGTGTGACCAATTATTACATATACAATAAAACCCTTGATGTTCCCACCATTAGTCCAGAAAAAGAATTGGTGTTACAAAGGGGGTTGATGATACACAGAGAGACATATAAAGGATTGCTAAGAGGGGCCTCGGTGGTCAAGTGGTTAAGGCGTCTGACATTCTGCTACCACTAGCCCTCCACCTCTGGGGCGCAGCTTCGAGGCCTACGTGGGGCAGTCGCCAGGTACTGGACTTAGGTCGGTGGTTTTTCTCCGGGAACTCCGGCGTTCCTCGACCAACAAAACCTGGCACGTCCTTAAATGACCACAGCTGTTGATAAGATGTAAACCACAAACAAACCAAAGGATTGCTAAGAAACACTGAGATGTGAGCATGAAATATGTTTGTATAGGTAGTAAGCAAGAGGAAAATAAAATATGGGTAAATAGATCAAGTTTTTTTTTAAGGTTTGGCCTTGCCTCAATAATTATTACTGATATATATCATTGTGAATACAAACAAAAACAAACTAATCACCAAAAATTCTCCTTTTTAATTATTTAGGCATATTAAACAATAGCAGGTTTGTCAGGACATAAAATGTGAAATACTTCATGTAACAGCCATATATCCACACACTTCCCAAGTATAACCCACTACAGACCAGCTAGGTCTGTAACATCTAGATCTAAAGACTATAATATCTACAACATCTAGATCTACAGACTATAAGAACTGTAACACCTAGATCTACAGACTATAATATCTACAACATCTAGATCTACAGACTATAATATCTACAACATCGAGATCTACAGACTATAAGATCTACAACATCTATATCTACAGACTATAAGAGCTAAAACATTTAGATCTACAAACTAGTAAGATCTGTAACACCTAGGTCTACAGACTATAATATCTACAACATCTAGATCTACAGACTATAAGAGCTACAACATCTAGATCTACAGACTAGTAAGATCTGTAACACCTAGATCTTCAGACTATAAGATCTACAACATCTATATCTACAGACTATAAGATCTACAACATCTAGATCTACAGACTAGTAAGATCGACAACATCTAGATCTACAGACTAGTAAGATCTACAACACCTAGATCTATAGACTATAAGATCTATAACACCTAGATCTACAGACTAGTAAAATCTACATCTAGATTTACAGACTGTAGGATCTACAGACTATAGTTAGGTCTACAACATCTATATCTACAGACTAGTTAGGTCTACATCACCTAGATCTACAGACTAGTAAGATCTACAGACTAGTAAGGTCTACAACATCTAGATCTACAGACTAGTAAGATCTACAACACCTAGATCTATAGACTATAAGATCTATAACACCTAGATCTACGGACTAGTAAGATCTACATCTAGATTTACAGACTATAGGATCTACAGACTATAGTTAGGTCTACAACATCTAGATCTACAGACTAGTAAGATCTACAGACTCGTAAGGTCTACAACATCTAGATCTACAGACTAGTTAGGTCTACATCACCTAGATCTACAGACTAGTAAGATCTACAACACCTAGATTTACAGACTAGTTAGGTCTACAACATCTAGATCTACAGACTAGTAAGATCTACAACACCTAGATCTATAGACTATAAGATCTATAACACCTAGATCTACAGACTAGTAAGATCTACATCTAGATTTACAGACTATAGGATCTACAGCCTATAGTTAGGTCTACAACATCTAGATCTACAGACTAGTTAGGTCGACAACATCTAGATATACAGACTAGTTAGGTCTACATCACCTAGATCTACAGACTAGTAAGATCTACAGACTAGTAAGGTCTACAACACCTAGATCTACAGACTAGCTAGGTCTACAACATCTAGATCTACAGACTAGTAAGATCTACAACACCTAGATCTACAGACTAGTAGGTCTACAACATCTAGATCTACAGACTAGTAAGATCTACATCTAGATTTACAGACTATAGGATCTACAGCCTATAGTTAGGACTACAACATCTAGATCTACAGACTAGTTAGGTCGACAGCATCTAGATATACAGACTAGTTAGGTCTACAACATCTAGATATACAGACTAGTTAGGTCTACATCACCTAGATCTACAGACTAGTAAGATCTACATCTAGATCTACAGACTAGTAAGGTCTACAACACCTAGATCTACAGACTAGTAATATCTACAACACCTAGATCTACAGACTAGTAGGTCTACAACATCTAGATCTACAGACTAGTAAGATCTACATCTAGATCTACAGACTAGTTAGGTCTACAACATCTAGATCTACAGACTAGTAAAATCTACAACATCTAGACCAACAGACTAGTTAGGTCTACAACACCTAGATCTACAGACTAGTTAGGTCTACAACATCTAGATCTACAGACTAGTTAGGTCTACAACATCTAGATCTACAGACTAGTTAGGTCTACATCACCTAGATCTACAGACTATAATATCTACAACACCTAGATCTATAGACTAGTTAGGTCCATCATTGTTTTACAGACCTGCCAGGTCTTTCATGGATCTATCAGTGTTTATCTGGAGTGTTTCTAGTTTTATTCTGAACTGTTCCATATCCTCTGTAGAAACCATTTCTGTGTCACTAAAGAAAAGGTCTCGTTTTCTCTTGGCAAAGTTTGATCTCACTCTCTCAACATCAACATGTCCGTCGACACCTTTTTCATGCTCCACATGTACTTCCGGAATGGATGAGTGCTTCCCCTTGTTAAGATCTTTCATTGCAGAAGTTACATATGTTAATTCCTTTTCCAGGTTGCCTACTGCCACCTTCAGTGACCTGGAAATGACCTCTTGGTTGTCAGGGAGAATCAAAACATTGTCAGGGAAGCAGGAATATAGGTGATGAAGAGTCAATGCTATCTGCTCCATATTCCTGTGGAAGACAAAAGAAAAACAATGATGACTTTAACTAGTAAGTATTCATTGTAATGGGAGCCATCACTTAAGTTCCGAAACTTCCCTCACAGTCATAAATGATGCTCATATAAGTTACAGTAATTTTTGCAGTACCATATTATACACCTGTGTATCAAATTTGAAAGAAATCGGTAACTAGAACACTGACAGGTCAGTAAGGGCCCCGTCTTGTGGCAATATATCCCCCATAATCATCAAGAAGCAATCTGCCCATATAGCTGAGCTTGACGTTTGATATTTGGACTTCAAAAAGAATGGCAAGGAAGCAAAATATACATTTTATATGTACTAGGATGTGTGTCTTGTTTCCTTCCACCTCCATATTTGCTGGCTAACAGAAATGTAAATACTGGTGCAATACTCATTTGTTAGCTTTGATTTGTTTTATTTCACCTTATATACCTCCTCCATCAAGAGCCAGGGTCAACGTCAGAGATCCACTTTGTCTTTGACCTTTGGACCAAAATGACCTTGACCATTAACCCGGTGACCCTGATCTTTGGTCAGTTGACTTATTCTTTAATTCCGACCAACTTTGCTTCTTAATATCATAACAAAGTGTTCATCAGTGAAAAATACAAAACTTGACCTTGACCCTTTGGACCCCGTAACCTGGACCTAAGGTCAGTAGACTCTGTGTTAATTTCGGAACAACATTGTTTCATAATGTCATAACAAAATGTTCATTAGGGAAAAGGTACAAAATTCAACCTTCACCTTGACCCAGTGACCTTGACCTTTGGTCAATTGGCTCCTTGTTTAATTCTGAGCTACATTGCTTCAAAGTGTCATAGCAAAATGTTCATCAGTGAAAAGATACAAAATTTAACCTTGACCTTTGACCCAATGACCTTGACCTTTGGTCAGTTGACTCCTTGTTTAATTCTGATCAACTTTGCTTCATCATGTCATATACAAAATGTTCATCAGTGAAAAGGTGCAAAATTTGACCTTGACCTTTGAATATAATGACCTTGACCTTTGACCTCTACTTCTTACCTCAGTGTGTCTCTTTGTTTAATTCCGAATAACTTTGCTACATAATGTCATAGCAAAATGTTCACCAGTGAAAAGCTACAAAATATGACCTTGACCCCTAACCCGATGACCTTGACCTTTGGTCAGTTGACCCCTTGTTGAATTATGATCAACTTTGCTGCTTAATGTCATAACAAAATGTTAATCAGTGAAAAGATGTAAAATTTGACCTTGACCTTTGAACCTAATGACCTTGACCTTTGACTTTGACTTTTTACCTGAATGTGTATTTTTGTGAACTGAACATCTTGACCAAGTTTCATGTACATCGGTCAATAAATACCAAAGTTATCAGCCAGGAACAAAATTTGTGGATGGACAGACAGACAGAGTGTTTACTATAGGGCACCTGTATATCCGATACGGGGCCCTAATTATGTAAATTTTGACCAATCAAATGCTAAGAAATGGTGGCTATTTTGTTAAATCAGAAAACAGGACCTGTAGTAATTTTTTGCATACCATTATATACATTGCATACCATATTTCAGAGATATCGGTCACTATCTAAATTTTGAACAATCAGGCCATGTATGGCACCCATGTTAGATGAATGATTGAAAAATAAAAGAAAGGTCATGTACACACCATGAGAATAATGATGGAAACCCTGCAGTCAGAAGAAAGTGGAAGAAATAAGAATAATAACAATAACAAGTTCTTATTTTAAATGGGACCATTACAGATATCCCCCAACTACCCCTATAGTTGCAATGATGCATTAGAATAAGTTTGCAATACCATAATACACCTCAATACCAACTTTGAGCAAAATCGGAAAATACCTAATATAGACCAATAAGAAGCCAGACTATGGTAGCCATTTTGTCCAATCACATACCAATCTCTATAGTAGTATTTACAGCATCATATTACACCTACATACCAAATTTTAGCAAAATCATTGAATAGCATAATTTTGACTAATTAGAAGTAAATATATGGGGGCCATTTTGTCCAATCGCAAAACGGATTCTGGTGTTCCCAGTACCATAGTCCAACAACATGCTAAATTTTAGCGAAATCGGTCAATATCTAAATTTCAACCAATCCGCATAGAACATTTTGTCAGAAAATTGCACTTTGCTAAACTACGCTTACAGAGTATCTTATAAGCATCTTTTTCATGAACTTTCATTGTAATCTGAGAAATAGGACAAAAGTTATGGCCCAATATATCTCAGTCAATCAGAGGCCAAGGTGGCCATGTTTGATGACAGTACAGAAAATGAGATGTTGGTACCAAATCTTCACATGACCCTAATACACATGTGGAGTTTCACTGGTATCTGTGCATTTCTGAGAAATGTGTCAGTCTTTTTCGGCAGATTGGGAAAAAAATTGATGGGCTAAAAAGTTTACTGTGTACTATTATATTTTTGAGAAAAACGAGAAAAAAAACAATTTGCATATGAAAAATTTGACTACTATATATATATAAGAAATGACCAAGATATTTTCTTGATTTCTGGATGATGGAAAGAAGGGCAGACAGTGTTTTAGGTTTACATATATGGCATAAACATAACTAGCAAACATCTTAACAACTCCTATATAATGAACCATGATATTGATATCTTAAAGCGACATCAATGTTATAATATTAAGAGCCATTTGGTTTCAAAAATGAATGCAAATCATATGGTAATACATCATGTACCATTGAAAGTATTTCATGAATAAAAAATTCTGTCTTAAAAGTAATTGAAAACCAAATTTACCACACAAAGATTTAACTTGGAAATATTAAAAAATATGTAAATAAAAAAATAAAAAATTGGAAATATTATCAAGACATTGGTAATTTTATATGAACAGATGGACTTGGTCTCAAGAAGAAACGGAAAAAGAAGATGTTATCTGTTCATGAAGAACACAAAAATACAAGATACTGCACATGAAATAAGCCTGTAAATATTGTCTTGACACTGACATATCATGGTCACATGTATGTTTCCATAGAAAATACAACAGCAATATGGCTAGTGTACCGAGAAGATGTTCAGCAGAATAGAAGTGTTTGTACTCTGGTATATAGTAGTGGATGGTCTGCTGCAGCAAACACATGCTTAATAGACATGTAATAAACTGGCACGGAGAATGTACAGGGACAAACTAATTAAGTAGGCCTCGTCCTGCAATATGGAACTCCAAGTGGCATTCAAATTATCCTGCAGTGTACCGATCACGTCTCTATACCTGCGGGACCAACATGGTATCAATCATCAGCCATTTAGCACTAAATTATCTGCTACTTTCATTACGGGAATGTTTAAATATTTCTCCTGTGCATAATTATGATCGTCATCTGTCCATGACGTATTGGTCTCCTTACACTAATACTATTACTGTAAATGTCTAACACAGAAACTCTATCTAGTTTATAGCTTAAATACACAAAGTTTCTATCGATCTTGCATGTATCTTTGTACTTATAAGTTCTACTACTGCTGAGTGACTCTTACAGATAATGTAAATCTTCATAGTCTTATAGTCTTGTGTTAATCTTAATACAGTCTGCATCATGTAAATAAATTAAAGCAATTTTTGAATCATGAAAAAATGCAACATTTTAGTAATTGGGCTTTTACAAGATATGCAGCATGCACCAGTTGCTCTCGTGACAACTGGTCCGTTATCGTAGCACTGTTTGTATGTTGCTGCAGTATTGTATATCCCAGCATGCAGACGCAGAGATTTTTAAAATAGATTTATAACACTTCACCAGGATGCTGCCAAAGACCCCTCCTATTGTGTAAAGTATGCAGCCGAGTCAAAGCAAGGTGTACAGTAGTTACACAGGACAAATTAAATATACCAACCAATCAATAGAACAATCAAATAAAGATCAGCCAATTTGTCATTTTATTCATTAAGGTTGGTCAGATGATATTGACTGTCTGCAGCACCATATCACAAGTGAAGTGTTGCTGTAGGACATCACAGAGGTACAACGAACCTGATGTGCTTCCACCATGACAATGGAGAGTAAATAGACTATAGGCTACGTACATATATATGTAGAACTCCTCTAATTATATAACAGTTTCCATGACAAAGCAGTCCGAGTAAACTTAGAAAACATCATTTTCAAAATCAATCTGAAACAATTGGCTAGCAGTACAGTCTTAATAAAATTTCACATCCATAAAGTAAAAGTACACACAAAAATGAAGATTTTATGTCGATAAAATGGCTAGCAGTACACTACAGTCTTCATAAAGTTTTATGCTTGTAGAGCAAAAGTGCACTTAAAATTGATCAACTTATATATCCATCCTGATAAACTTGTTTACGGAGCAGTGTGTGCGAGAACGACAAAAAAAAATGAAATTCCATTTTTGGAAAATTGTTGGAAACTGATATTTCAGTCTTGTAGACATTAAAGTCAGAAAATTAGTTTACACATATAATTACATAAGACTGTAAATAACAAAGTAAGTTTTTGTAATGCAATCTGGAACAATAGAGATATGTTGTTTCCATAAAATTGCAATATACTGCCGAATTTTGAAGTTGAATGAGGGATTAAATTCAACCGAGAAAGCTTTTCCTTAAACAATAGTGGATGGCCAACATTATGTTATCTAATAACCATGGAAATACAGGGGCGTAAGGCAAGGATGAAATGCAAGATTGTCATCACTAAAAACAACAGTTAACATAGTTACTTGGCTTTGAAAAGGTCCAAACTTTTACAAAATGCTGTATCTGTTCTATTATACCTTCTTTTGAAGAGATAAAAATGCATACTTGCCAATTATTGCAATTTTGAGAAAGACTCATGTTTTTTTTTATCTTCTTTTCGACTTCTGAAAGAATTACCTACATCTAGTTTTACATGCAAAAAACAGAATAGTTTGAGATCTGTTTTTTACACAACTATTTTGTTAAATAAGAGTTTTTGTAAGTAATTTCTAGACAATTGTAACTGTTGTTGGCAGATGACCTGAATATATTCACTTTAACAGAGAAATATACAAAGTATGTAAAAAATACCTTGCAGATAGAGTAAACTTCGCCAGTTGTTCATCTCCAGCAGCACCATCCCCGACCTCAATTCGAACAAGATGGAGGGATGTCACGTCGGACATGTAACACCTGTACACTGGCCTGAAGGTAAACCCTGCCCGCCCCTCCAACCAGGCCCTCAGACACCCTACAGTGTAGGGGCGTGTCCCCTCCAGCTTCAGGCCCACCTCCGGCTGGGTAAGTGAAAGGGTAGTCAGGTCTCTAGATGTTTCTGTTTACATTTAATACATATAGTCACAACCCTGGTGTATGAAATATTTCTATCATTAATTTGTATGACAACAAAAGAAACATACATCAATTATTTTTGGATGTGTTTTTGATATTATTCAGTGCTCAACCTCACAGACTTTTTTTGCTCAAAATCAAAATGATTTTAAAGCTCAGTCTGACTTACTCAAACTAAATCCTGTATAACCTGTCAAACAGTATTTAAGTCAGGCTTACTGCTTGTTTCTAGTGCTATGCTAAAACTTCACCAAGTATTTACTTCAGTGCTAATTCATTGATATTGTAATAATGAAGACTATTTTCATATTTGCAATCATGGTCATTATCACAGCCTTTAGCTAGCATCATAATTATGAACTATTTCATGGATATTTACTATTGAAATATTGAGTCATTAATTATGTTTTAAGAAACCCAACAACACATCTCCCGATAAACAGTGAATCGTTATCATACTGTATAAAATATATGGAACGGCAATGAACTGTCATTCTAATGCAATAAAGTATTGTTAGCTTACTGTGTAACAGGAAATTATTGGTGAATACTTTATTCTATCTATGTTTAAAATGTGTGTGTGAAGTGTAATTGCCGTAGTTAAAATGTACTAAAATAAATATATGCAGTCCCAATGTAATTTTAAAAAGCATTAATTCATATTGAAATATATATTAAAAGTTTCATGCTACCCAGTAGGTAATGCTTTCTACATACCAACTTTAGCAGTTGCCTCCCTTCCCAGGTCATATTTGTCCTGTAGTATATCATCCACAGACAGCGAGATTATTCCACAATCCTGACATCCAGAATGAGGCTGCCTGTTGACATCATTCTCAGTCCACTGTAGAATCACATGACAGCGAACCTTCCGAAGTCTCCCAAATTTTGGCAGTGATGCAACACATGCAGGAAAGTGTTTTATCAAGGGAGATAACTCCTCTTCTTCAGGACAGGTAGCTGTTAGTCTTGGTCTCTTTATCTGTGAATTATGGACTGAGGATATTTCATCACTTTTTGTTGTTGATAAAGGTTTCTTTCTGAAATCTTTTGTAATATCGTGGAGTTGGTTTGAGGAACAAGTTATACATCCTATGAAATGCAAATCCTCTGTTTCTGGTACAAGTACCACTTGAAGTGAAAGTGTATTTCTGGCGATACAGTCCACCCCCACCACCCACTGTCCCTCAGTAACTCTCTGCCATATCTCTGTCACTGTGAGTCCCTCACTTCTGTTCTCCACCTTAGGAATCTTTCCAGCTGATGGTTGTTCTTCTGTCTTGTTCAGCATAGTGATCAAAGAAGGCTTAAATAAAAAAAACAATAAAAAAAACCTTGTCTGACAGCTGATTGAACGATTTGATTCTAATTCCTGATGGATACATATCATAACATACGGATTGGGACAAATATTTTGATATTTTTTGTTTTGCAATGATTTACAGTTAAATTTTGTGTTAACTGCTGTACAAAGATTTAACATGATCTAATAGTGAAATGCGACATTTTTAAAATCTCTCGCTAGTTATAATTATAGATTATCACACTGTGTTTTCAGGGTTTGTTGTGTGAACAATTTTCTTATCGCAGGCATTAGCGGTCAACTGAGTTATATCATATGTCCTGGTAGCTTTATTTTATTGTTTAGATGTGATGTGGAAATCAGAATGTAAACTAAGTGAAATACAATACTTGTCATGTCATCAAAGGATAAGGATTTTAAAATATTTGTAAATGTTCCCTTTGGGGCCCCGCTCTAACCCCTGGGGATGGGGCAGAAATTCCAAGTTTACAATGTGATACCGTCATCCACCAAAGATGATTCTGACCAAGTAAAACTAATTTCCAACAGAAAATTGTCAAAATATACCCAAAAGTGTTGTTTCCCTATATAAACTATAGTAAACTTTACCCCCTCCCCAAGGGAGAACGGATAGCTCAGGGGTCCTGAAATTTACAATTTAAATAAAGCCCCTGATGATCTTTCCATCCATGCAGAGAAAATGACTGTAATACCTCTGAGTCTGGAGAAGAAGATTTTTGAAATATTGGTTAATTTTCCCTTTTGGGCCCCGCCCTGGCCCCTAGGGTTGGGGTAGGAATCCCAATTTTACAATTTGGTAGCCTCATCTACCAAGGATGATTCTGACCAAGTTTGAAAAAATTCCATCCACTGGTTCTTGAGAAGAAGTTGATAATGTAAAAAGTTTACGCACGACGGACGACGACGGACGGAAAGTGATTGGAATAGGTCACTTGAGCAAAGCTCAGGTGACCTAAAAATTGAAAGGCCACCGGGCAAGCATGTGGATAAATTTAAGAGCCCACAGGGTGAGCATGTGGATAAAATTAAGAGGCCACTATGTGGTTGTTGTTATCCTCAAGATAGTTTTAAAACAATACTATAGTCAATAGCCCATTTACACTTAAAATGGTGTTGTTATCCACACAATGTTTTTTTCATAATCTTACATAATGATTTGTATATGACAGACTTTTTTCCTACGTGGAACATCTTTGCATGGATACTATTTCGATTGAGGATGTCACCTGGCACGAATTGACCAGACATTATTTTTGAGAAAATACATTCCCAAACAGGAATTCAATTCTCAATCTGTTCTCAGGTCATTCACAATTTTTTTTCATGCTACCTGTAGGTGGTGGTATAAAGTCGTATATATAGGTGATCATTTTGATTAAAGTTGTCGCTGCAAGGTACACATTTATTTGTCTCTACATAACAGCTAACCGACAAAAGACATCTAAATCCTATACACATAATGTCATTTGTTTCTTGAAAGCATATTGAAATAAGTTGCAAGCATACCATTTATCATAAAATACACAATGTACTATTCACAGAATAGAACGGAAATTTGTTAATAAAAACAATTATAGAAATATGAGATTTTGCTAAAACATTGAAGCATACCATAATTGGCAAAGAAAATATTGCCATACAATATTCACTGATTACACATTTACAATGTTTTAATAAATATCAAATGTGCCATAAATAAGATGAAATAATGGTATTATTCCTTTTTTACAGAAGATTTGTTTATTTTTAAATAGTCACGGGTTGATTGACAAATCAAGGGATGTTTTTGCCAGAAATAAACATAGCAAGAGACATACTCACATCATCTTTAGCTTGAAAGAGTGGTCTCCCTTGTAGATTACCCTGCAATGTCTGCCAAGTTCTCGAAATAAATCTCTCTTTGCAGGTTACCTCCCTTTTCTTCTCACCAAGCACCACCAGATCATTCTACAAACAAAACATTTCTTTAGATCTCCAAAACATAAGGTTATTAGTTTTTGCCTTTTTTTACTTTCTGAATATATATAAACCTGGATCTTCATTCCGGACCTTTTTCTCCTTTCAACACCCTATCATATATTTACACATGACTCCAGTAATTCTGTTAATTTTATAGTATCATGTTTACAGGAGTCTTTAGAAGGCCGACGCTGACGGCAAAACACAAACCAGAAACAACACAGCAAAAGAAAAAACACCTGGTTCAGGGTAAATTCAAGGCAAAGAGAGTGTTATATATATATATCCCCTGATGAACCTCTAAAGAGGAAAAAGCGTTAGGGAAGTCGAAGAAACTCTTGTCTTTAAATTTTTATATAGGCCAAAACAAAATGACTTGTGTATGTGCTATCATTCAAAGAAAGAAAAAATAGTGTAAGAAAGCAAATTTTTCATTTATTTTGGAAAATAGTTTAACTAAGCAGGAATTCTGATTAAACAGGATAATAACAGGATACTACGGAAAAGATAGAAGTTTATAACTGAGAAATTTAATCACACAATTTAAACTTCTAAAAATCATTCAAATTAAATACAGTGAAAGACTTCCATGTATTAAAATACAATATTTTATGCTCCCAAAACACACTTGGGTTAATTTGAAATACGAATCTTGACAAACATTGGGTAAGCTTTGATTAATCATTGTCATTAGGGAAACCGGGAACACATTTTAGCTTAGGCTGGTAGATTTTTTTTCAAAGGAACATTTTCATCATTAATTACAGGAACATGTTTGTAGTTAAGTCATATACATGTATTGGTATATCAAGAACAGGTACATATGGATATTCTACTAAACAGAGGAAAAATAGAGGACATCATATGGTGCCTACAGTGAGTCTGGTCTGCAGGGCGTGTATAGCAGCTGATGCACTGTCCTCGTGTTTCTTGGTTGCTGTTGTTTCTGGTCGGGGTCCTTCCTCTCCTAACCGGTCAATCAGGACAGAGAATGTGTCTGTGACCAGCCATCCACTGTTAGTATCAAACCCTTTCTTCAGTATTAGCAGCTGTGGACAGCCAAGTCCCACAAAGTCCTCACAATGACAAGCATGCACACCCGTCCATGTGTTTATCACCTGAAAATGGAACAAACATTTGATATTACATGTATGTAATGTAGTAATTCATGTTTAAAGTTCAATATTAAATCTGGTACAATTTCTACCTGTTGATGTAGATTGAGAATTCAACTTGTAAATTTATAATATCAAATGTCTGCAAATTTGTGTTTGTTTCTAAAGTGCACTCTTTTTATTAGTGGTTAACTTTTTTTGTATTTTATATAAACTGCACTTTAATAGAAAGAAAAGGTGTTTTTTTCACATCTTTTCTTTTTGTAATCCATCACATCAATTTACTCATACATTATATTATGTATGCAGACATAAAGACCTGCAACAATTATCTGATACATGTATATAGCTGCCACAGAAATCACAATGACTTTACATATTAACATGATGAGAATTTTATATTTTAGTCCACTAAAACTGACCATAATTACCGACTCCAAAATTCTGACCTGCAATTATGGTCAGTTTTAGTGGACTATGGTTATTTTAGCGATTTATTAGGTTGCCTTACAAGCAACAGCTGTAGGGAATTTCCCTTAAGCTCAGCTGTACAGCATCGGACTGGAGAGCCAAGGGTCAAGGTTTGAGCCCAAGCAACGGCACTATCTTTATAACTTTTCCTCCGACCGTACCCGTTCAAGTTAGGAGAACCCTTGGCGGGGGGTCAAAGAACCTGGGTTGGTGTTTGAAAAAAGGGGGGAATAATGTAAAAGATGTGCATTGATTAGGTTGCCTTGCAAGCATCAGCTGTAGGAAATTTCCCTTTTAAGCTCAGCGATAGAGCATCGGGCTGGAGAGCCAAAGGTCGCAGGTTTGAGCAGAGCCCCAGCAACGGCACTATCCTTATCACTATTCCTCACCCTACTACACTGGTATAAACTATAAAGTGCACTTCTTTTTTAATTTGGCCCGAAAAACTCCACCAAAAGTCTGTGTATCATAGGTGTAACACAATCATCTGACTACTTTTTTTACCTGTCTTTCAGCAGTATCTAAAAGAAACACAGCAGCATCCGAGTGTACAGCAACTAAAGTCTTGGTTAATCCATAGGGACAGAATACATGTAGTTCAACATCACTTGAGATTTGGATCTCTTCACTGATGGGGATTGCAAAGTCCAGTTGCCCATCCTTAAAATACAACACATAACCTTCATCTGTGACAGCATACAGAGTGGTCTGTATCATGGGGTTTGTTGTGGCATCACTTGAATTTGATGAGAATATTTTCCCGTCTACAAAATGGATTTTTACTATGTTGGTAAATTCTGCTGAGTAAAAACGTTCAATGGGAAGGTTCTCACAAACCAGAGTTGAGTCTGATACAGAATATGCTCGTGCATGTTTACCTTTTTGGTTTGCAATAAAAAAGAATTTTCTACATGAGTAATATGAACCTACGATAGAACTAGGTTTGAATTCAAGAGGTAAAGCTGTTGGTTTTAGTTGACAGGGGTTATCCTCTCCAGGAACACACATAACATGAGAGCCATCTTTCATCCAGCATATAACAGGACCGTCTAACGCTGTAAACGACACACATCTGTCAGTCCAGGTCGTTGTGGTGTCCGATTTTTCTACACTTTTTAACAGGATCAGGCTCTTCGTTGGCAGACTGAGACCAACGAGATAGAGTTGATTGTTTACAGGATCACGTAGAGACGAAACTTGTAAAATAACAACAGGCAACAAGAACCCCGTTTTTATCTCTAAACAGTTTCTTGTCTGTAAAATGCTTACAGATACCGTCGATTTTGTTCCGGCCAACTCCAAAACGATATTACTTTCGTTTTCCCATTCACCTTCATTGTCAACCAATGACCACACTCTTGCCTCGATTACAATATTTTTAGTTACATCAGATTCCTTCAACGAAAATTGTATCAATTTCCCACCAAAAACCAGCAGACGATCCATGAAATCCACAAGTTGTCGGTTGTTTGTTTACATTGGCATGTGCACCCACACGGTCAGGCACACGGCAACAGCCATGTTTTCATCTGAAAGGTCCGCGAAATTGATGGAATCGACCAATCAAAACACTGGAGATCAAAGGGAGATAATTCAGAACAAAATGCTTCAATATCATAGAAAAAAATAAAACTTGTTAGTACGCTTCTTTTTCTTTTCTTTTTGTCGTACATTTATTGTGTGTTATATTCACCTTTTGAGGATCAAAAATAAGTAAAAAAATAAGAATATCAAAAATGTTCCGCTTCGTTACAGTATTATTTCCATATTATTGAACAGTTAACATTTATGCACAGGAAAAATCAACTTGCTGTACAGTTAACACTGACGATACAATGTCACTTATATATATATATATATAGTGATAGACCGAATGTCAAAAAAGATGTTTAGCATTGAATAAAATACACATATTTTTACGATATTCAAATGGCTCCCAAATTGGTAATTTTTTGTTAAACCGAAGTTGTAAAAAGCGTTCTGCAAACAATAGGCATATAGTTTTTTTCACACATTTTTCAGATGCATGTATATGCTTTTAAAATTAAAAAGCCCCTTCCAACAGATCAAAACGAGATGTGTACGTGATTAAAACCTATGAAGACTACATATTAATTTCTTCCTGTCTAAAGACGCTATAGCAAAGTCGCTGTGTCTTGAGATTAATCACTCTTGATATATCTGCACAACCTATATATATATATCCTCTCATCCTTAAATATTGAACAATTGATTTAATAGGATTTAATAGGATAATTGATGGACGCGGCATATACTGCATCTAAGTCCATATAAGTTATATTACAATATGCATACACATTATTTGTTACTTCCGCTAACGAAATTATGTCCTGCCAAGTGATTCTATTTTAGTTCAAAATTATCCCAATAATTGTCCAGTCCAATTTTAAATTCCCTGATTGTGGTTGTTTGTACAACATCCTCAGAAACACTATTCCAAACATCAACAGACCAAAGACCAAAGGAGTATTTGCGGATGTCAAGTTTGCAACACTTTTTCTTTAACTTCCCTGAATGGCCTCTTGTTCGCCGTGAAGTGTTTTTATCGAAGATTCCTATGGTAACTGCGCACTATCATGGAAGTCATGTCGCCTCGCAGTCTTCGATATGCACGTGTCGGAATGCCTAGTTTTTTTGACACAATACAATATACAAAGTGTATATTATACACTGTACAATAAATCGTGTAATCCATAAGAGATAAAATATAAACAAAGAATACGATTAACAAACACAATGTATACAATTGGCATGTAGTGTAATCTGCAATATATACTGAGGTTAATGATTAATTGTATTCCCCAAAGATGCAATTTATAGGATTTAGTAAAATGCAAAATATGCTATGTTTATGAATAAATATATAATCCACGGTGGCATTGGATTTAGATTAATCCACATAAACTACAATGAATACAATTAGTATACAAAGTAGATACAATGTAAGTATATTTCACAATAGAGACAATATTTACATTCAGTATAATTCACAACAGCAGATACAATGTTTACATGCAGTATAAGTTACAAAAGATACAATGTTTACATTCAGTATGATTTTCAGTAGATACATTCAGGTTAATTAACAGCAGATACAATGTTTACATTCAGTATAAGTTACAAAGATACAATTTACAGCCGACACAATGTTTACATTCAGTATAATTTTCAGTTGATACAATATTTACATTCTGTATTATTTACAGTAGATACAGCAGACACAATGCTTACATTCAGTATAATTCACAAAAGATAAGATGCTAACGAAACATTAACCTATCGTAGTATAAATTGACATCAATGCACATGTATTTTGCAGTTTTTAACACTGATTATCACATGTTTAACTCGTGTCCCGTAACATATACCTCTGGGTACGATGCAACATGTTTTCGCTGTGATTTCTACATGCGTTAGGTAGATTTAACAAAAACCGTTTGAGTTGTCTTTCTTGGCTCAGAAAGATGTAATGATTTTAAGGACAATATATCCCCATCATTATACATCCCTCACCCCCTCGACGCCAATTCTACAGCGCTGCATCTGCTATTTTAATACAATTGTCATATTCATGGTATTTGTGCAAACCCTTCTGATATTGGTATTCCCTCCTCCCCACCACCAATTTTGTTTTATTTAATTTAGGCTTTCGACAAGATTTAAATTGGACAAAAGTAAGTTAATTTTGAAAAGGTTAACGTAATTCATTTCCTGCCGACAAACAGTTATTTGTTTATGATAGACAGGAACGCTAGTCACTGCTCCCAGTCAACACTCATTACAGCTTAACACAATTTATGTATTTGATGATCTCCTCCACAACTACATCATTTCGCGGAACATTGTGTTCTTTCAGAACCATTTAAGTTTCTCCCATAGAATACACGATTTGCCCTCGGAGTTCCCTTTGACTGAAGATAATAAGACCGGAGATATGGACTTTAAATAATTTAATCGGTAGAACCCTATAATCAACGCTATATTAAAAAACATTCAATCTTAAGCAATATTTTTATAACTCTTTTTTCCAATTATGTTCGGATTTGGCAAAGTAATGGTTGGAGATGGGGGGGGGGGGGGGGGGGGGGGGGGGGGGGGAAGAGAATACATGAAATTAAGTTCATCAGAAGAAATTAAAATATCCAAATCTTAATTCCCATCAAGTAAACACTATTTATACTACTTGTTTAAAACATTTATGGAAATGTGTTGACATATAAACTTGATTCAGCAGTCAACGAAAAGTGTGATGCCTTCAGTCATTCAAAAAAACCCAGAACGGTTTGTATTGAGATATAATCCTTTACAATACTCCGGACCATAAGTCGTTCAGTACTCCAAATCATACAATATTCCGAACCATACAGTACTCTTAACCATAAACTACTCTGGACCAAACAGTACTCCCAAACATACAATATTCCAAACCATACAGTACTCCAAACAACCCAATACTCCAAACCACTCATTAATCCAACTCATACAGTACTTCAAACCATACAATACTCCAAACCATACAATACTCCAAACCATACAATACTCACAACCATAAAATACTCCAAACCATACAATACTCCAAACCAAACAGAACTCAAAACCATACAGTACTCCAAACCATACAGTACTCCAAACCAAACAGTACTCCAAACCATACAATACTTCAAACCATACAATACTCGAAACCATACAGTACTCCAAACCAAACAGTACTCCAAACCATACAAAACTTCCAACCATACAATATTCCAAACCATACAATACTTTAAACCATACCATACTCCAAACCACTCAGTAATCTTATCCAACTCATACAATACTCCAAACCAAACAGAACTCCAAACCATACAGTACTCCAAACCATACAATACTCCAAACCATACAATACTATAAACCATACAATACTACAAACCATACAATACTCCAAACCATACAGTACTCCAAACCAAACAGTACTCCAAACCATACAATACTTCAACCCATACAATACTTCAAACCATACAATACTCCAAACCAAACAGTACTCCAAACCATACAATACTCCAAACCATACAGTACTCCAAACCAAACAGTACTCCAAACCAAACAGAACTCCAAACCAAACAGAACTCCAAACCATACAATACTTCAAACCATTCAATACTCCAAACCATACAGTACTCCAAACCATTTAATACTTCCAATTATACAGTACTCTAAACCATACAATACTACAAACCATACAATACTTCAAACCATACAGTACTCCAAATCATAAAATGCTCCAAACCATACAATACTTCCAACCATACAGTACTCAAAATCATACAATACTCAAAACCATACAATACTTTACAACCATACAGTAATCCAAGCCATACAATACTCCAAACCATACACTATTTCAAACCATACAATACTCCAAAACCATACAACACTCCAAACCAAACAGAACTCCAAACCAAACATTACTCCAAACAACACAATACTCCAAACCACTCAGTAATCTAATCCAACTCATACATTTCTCCAAACCATACAATATCCCTAACCATACAGTACCCCAAACCATACACTACTCCAAACCAAACAGAACTCCAAACCAAACAGAACTCCAAACCATACAATACTTTAAACCATACAATACTCCAAACCATACAGTACTCCAAACCATTTAATACTTCCAACCATACAATACTCCAAACCATACAGTACTCCAAACCATATAGTACTCCAAACCAAACATACTTCCAACTATACAGTTCTCCAAACCATACAATGCTCCAACCCATACAATACTTCAAACCATACAATATTCAAAACCAAACAGAACTCCAAACCATACAATACTCCAAACCATACAATACTCCAACCCATACAATACTCCAAACCATACAATACTCAAAACCATACAGTACCCCAAACCATGCAATACTTCAAACCATACCATACTACAAACCATACAATACTCCAAACCATACAATACTCCAATCCACGCAGTACTTCAAACCATACAATACTCCAAACCATATAATACTCAAAGCCATACAATACTCCAAACCATACAATACTCCAAATCATAAAATGCTCCAAACCATACAATACCTCCAACCATACAGTACTCAAAACCATACAGTACTCAAAATCATACAATACTCAAAACCATACAATACTTCCAACCATACAGTATTCCAAACCATACAATACTCCAAACCATACAATATTTATAACCATACAATACCCCGAACCATACAATACTCCAAACCATACAATACTACAAACCATACAATACTCCAAATCAAACAATACCCCATAATCATTCAATACCCCAAACCATACAATACTCCAATCCACACAGTACTCTAAACCATAAAATACTCCAAACGATTCACCACTCCAATTCATACAATACTTCAACCATACAATACTTCAACCATACAATACTCAAAACCACACAATATTCCAAACCATACGTTACGCCAAACCATACAGTACTTTAAACCATACAATACTCTTAACCATACAATACTTCCAACCATA